AAATATTAGCTTATCAAGAAAGACTTTACTTCATGGGGCTGATTAATCTTGGTATTACTGTAGTATATCTCTGGTCTAGATGTTCATTCACTGGAGATCTAGTGCAGGAAATTTCACACCACAGATGTTAGATTATATAGTCATAATTTGTTTTTTCTGTATTTAATTGAATATTTACTGCATTGAAACATGATTCAAATTAAAACAGTAGATCTGAATGAGATCTATATTTTATGTTGTGTATCATTATTTTTGTACAGTGAGCCATTTTTGGAAAACTGGTATAGCATTTGATATGATCTTCATGAAAAAATAGAAGTTACATCGTACTGATACAAACTTAAAATAAATTTGCCAGATATCTGGTGTTAATACGTGGATAGGGATGACCATCCTATTATGCAGTTTATCGAAAGGATGCATAAAATGGTTAATATTAAAGATATTGAACATAATTATGATTGTGTTACTCATTCTTTTACGTGTATATATGTTGACTTGTAAACTAGTTTCTTTATTAGCCTGTAAACAGCCTATAAGAGATTCTTCATTGTATTTATACTCTCACTCACTTTCACACAAAGATACAAAGAACACATAGCAGCCATAAAACACAATAAAGATAATTCTGCATACTCTAAACACATTCTCAATACAGGACATGCATATAACACAATTAACGAAACAATGGACATATTAAAAATAGTAAAAAACAAAAGACACAGGGACACAATAGAAAAATATGACATATATCAAAATTATAAACAAAACTTATGCCTTAATGATAATAGTATTGAACTGAACAACCCCATCTTTAAAGCACTTCAGTACCTTGACCTCAACCAAGACAAACCACCTTTCACCCACTAGCATCACAGTCAGTAACCAGCCACTATCCAATGCAGTACGTACAACTCCGATCTCTCCAAATAGGATTACGATATTACTTCTTTGGTAAGTTCACATAATTTATTTCAACTAATTATTTTGTTTTCTATATTCATTTTTCATTAATATTAGAACATTTATTTCACAGTCCATATACTGAACTTCGACATCAATAAGAAATACAAAATTAGTGACCTGGAATACTACAATAATTGGTACTACAACGAATGGTGAATCAACATAAAGGACAAAACATCATAAGGAAAATCATTAAAAAATCCTTAAAAGTAATTTAGTGAAAAGTTTATATATACAAAACACCAGATGATGGCTATATATAGCCGAAACATGTTGTGTAAGTCCCATATGTAAATCGAGTACTCGATAGGGAACATAATATGATATTTTAATCTTTTAATTTTATTGTGATTGACGGTTATTTTTAAATATTTTAATACTATTAATTCACAATATGACGCATCTACAATACCTTACAATACCTCTCACTCAAATTAACATAATTACCATTTGCACTGTCTGTGTCATTTAACTTGGCTCATGGAAGAAGTGGGTCCAGGAGGGAGTAAAGTTGGTGTGACATGCCCTACCTGATTCTCCTGGACTCTCCGGATGGCAAAGTACATTACAAAGAAATATAAATATCTGTGTTAAGGTAAGAAACTGAACGTGAGAACTTACGTCAAAGTTAAGATTGCATCGATATTTGCATTATAGACAATAAAGTCAAGGAAAATGGCACGAGTTCCTCTTGTAACCCACTGATTAATCTTCAAGGTAAGCAATTTCTCAATTGTTTCAATACGATCGAGTGACAGGTCTTCATAATATCCTCCACCACCATACGTTGAAAATCTTCCCCAGTAACTGGAACCATGCAGTTCTTCTTCAGTGGAATAAGTCCAGCTGTTGTCAGAAATAGTAAATCAGACTGCTTGTTTTAATTCCAATATACAAACACAGAAATATTAGTTCTGGTCCTGTACATCTCTGTTTAGAGGCTATTCAAGAAAGTAAGGAAGAAAGAAAGAATGGTTCATCCTTGCAAATGGATGATCTGGAATTTGTATAAATTGTAACAACTGATACATGCAAATGAGGTGGCAGGAAGGTCAGAGGATAATTCTCTTGTGCATAACCAGTTTTCTGCTTTAAATGTTCGTCTGCAAGCTTCAGACTTTTTTTTTTTGGGATTGACTGCATAATATACACAGCACACAACACACACACACTATAGTATTACTTTTTTGAGGAAGTCCTAAAAGAATTAGAAAACTATGTTGTACTACATGGGCATTGATGTTCTTGTAAAATAAACCAAATTTATCTTCTAATAACAGTTCCAATTCTCCAAGCACTTTTATAGCGGCAACCGTGTGGTATTCGCCATATCTTTCATATGATTTCCTATAAACATAAAGGGAATATTTTGATTTACATTAATAAAATGTTGACTGAAAACTTACGCTGTTCCGATTCCTGGTCCAAATTGTCCCTTATCTTCATTTGCAGATGAATATACGTCATAACATTCTGAGAATAATCGTTTGAATGCTTCATTTATTATGCATGAATCATTTCTCACTTTTACCTGTAGACAATGAAGTTTTACTTTCATTCTAGTTGCTACAACACACACAAAAGTACTATGCTTTAGTAACGTAACACCTAGTCTTTAGCCATGCTGTATGATGAAACAGTTCATACGAACCTATCTTGTCACTGCTGAGATTCTCTATAATGCTTTTAATATCCACAATTTGGAAATTCATATTAACTTATAAATCATGTAATATCACAAGAATGCTAACTTTATTTCACAGAAAATGTTATGTTATAAAGGAAATGTACAAACCTGTCGTAGGCGTGGTGCTCCAATCAGCTTGTAATCTTCCAACATATATCCAACTGTTTGATGCGTATCATCTTGAAGGTTCCCGTATAAACTGTCAATCATTACAGTCTCTGCAAACTATAAACAAAATTAGTTGCGTCACGTGGAAACACAAAGATTTTAAGTTATATATCGACTGTACAGTGCAGTGCATTCTGAAACCATTATCTAAGTATGAACTATCAGACACTAACTCTGTATGATACTTATTATTCTTACAGCAGTTGATATGCAGTTACTCAGACGATCAATGTTTTTTTGTCAATGACATGCTTTCTTGTTGAGAAAAGCCCACCTGCTTCCAAGATCCATTTTAATATTGTTCTTTTATATATGCCTGTGTTTTCCATGTGGACTCTTCCCTTGAGTTTTTCACTCAAAATTATGAATACATTTCTGTTTCTTGAAGATTAGTTTTCCTATCCATTTCGTCTTTTGTGGTCTTCTCATGCAAACAGGGTTTTGGGGTTAATAGTACAGATTTCCAGTCCCTAATAAAATGTCCTATTTATTTCATCTTTAATATAGACAGCAGTTGTTAATATTTTTAATAATAAGCCACACACAGCTAACAAGGGGGTTACTTTCATGTCGTCTTTCCAAAATCTGAAGATTTAAATTTATAGAACAATTTTTTTGCAGCAAGATAGAAAAAGTATTTTGAAAATGGGAAGTGTTACATAAAGAGGAGCTTCATAACTTGTGCAGAATGCTGTCAGGGTGATTAAATCTGGAAGATTGAGATTAGCAGGCCATACAAGAAGTACGCAGGAAGATGGAATTCATACAGAATTTTATTTGGAAGGTTTTATGGAAAGAGACCACTTGTGAGAACCAGGTGGGATTTAGTTGTATGGATGCTGACTTGACAGTGAAGTTAATTATTCTTCTGATGCCATAATACAAAATTTCTTGTACAGTTGGATAACTTTTTATAGTAATGTTGTTCACTGCTTAATCAGTTAATTACAAGGTAGCAAATGAGAGTCTTCTTAAATTACTTCATTATCTCTACATTACCGCATTTATGTATGTCCCAATCGCATATTTATCTTAAATTCATACCTTCCAGAAATGACTTATGTGTGATATGTTTTTGAAGTTTCTTTCTTCAACACCAACTTGAAAGTTAGTTTCCACAAACAAATCATCTAGAAGTTTTTTGCACCAATATGTCATTTTGTCTGTCTTCCCAAATGTTCCTGAAAAAATAAAGTGATATTTTCAAGAAATATAAACAACTCCAGTGGGTGAAACTTAGATTACAGGAGACGATACAGAAATTAAGAAAAGTATGCCATTTAAACAATTACAGACATTAATCTAAGTTTAAATTAAACTTTCTCACTATTTCAGGTGGAATACATGCACTGAATCTTTTTTCATAATTTAGGGCTGTGACTAAAACAGCAGATGGCATCATTACTGTGTAGTGACCAAATGTTTACGAGGAAATCACATTTTCAAAAAGAAGGCTTACAGAAACTGCTGTAAAATAAGGAACTCGTAAAGATCGACAACTTTCATTTGGGAAATTCTTTGTCTTATGTATTTGATAGAAAAGAAAAACATTGTATTCCTACAGATTCAACATCCGCACTTTTGATTAGCTTCATCAGCAATGGAATTTGTGAATCTGTAACACGTGGTATTTGTACCACTGTTTAGCTTATCAAGAGTTGAAATGTATCGTGATTAAGTGAATATCAAGACGAGTGAACAATCCAAATCACAGAGAATGTTTGTATTCCAAATTAGACTACAGTTTTCCTTTCCTGTCAAATTCATACTCTGGTAAAGCAGCACTTACAAGGTGTTAATGTTACATAATGAGAGTGGGTATTTGTACATAATAACATAAACATGAAAATAGGACTTGGCTATGTCGACAGTACAAGTATAGTCGGCGCAGTAGTTTTTGGCCGGTTGAATTTTCAAGGGGAAGAAGACTACGAGCGAGTCATTTGTGCGATAGTATAATTACAAGGTGTTAATGTTACATAATGAGAGTGGGTATTTGTACATAATAACATAAACATGAAAATAGGACTTGGCTATGTCGACAGTACAAGTATAGTCGGCGCAGTAGTTTTTGGCCGGTTGAATTTTCAAGGGGAAGAAGACTAGAGATTTTTACCAGATGTGAAATTCATACTCTGGTAAAGCAGCACTCACAAGGTGCTAATGTTACATAATGAGAGTGGGTATTTGTACATAATAACATAAACATGAAAATAGGACTTGGCTATGTCGACAGTACAAGTATAGTCGGCGCAGTAGTTTTTGGCCGGTTGAATTTTCAAGGGGAAGAAGACTACGAGCGAGTCATTTGTGCGATAGTATAATGCTGACTGCACCGAGCTTATCAGACTGACACCCAAACAAAAGAAATACACTGACTGTGCCACCTCAGGTGGCCCGCCTGCCAGCTTCTCCACCGGCAAAAAACTACTGCGCCGACTATACTCCATTTTATTATACCCTCTTGCATGTAGTATCCTGTCTCAGCATCAATTAGACGCCTGTACTCCTGGCAACTCTATTGTCATTGGTAATATCATGTAGGTCAAAATTTACTTACCTATTAACACTATGATGATGAAGATTAAGTGCAAGTACCCTTCCTTGTTAGTATTCCTCTGCTTCATTCCTAAAACAAAAACAAATTTGTATCAGAACTGAGAATTATGGGCATATTTTTTGAGCCTTGTCTACTTCATTGAATAAAAAATGTATATGACATGCCGTAATTCCATTTGTCTTTGGCATTTGGTATTAGCCAAACGTATGTTCTTGAGGTACCACGTTAATTGCATGGCAAGATTCTGTTATAAATTTCTTTTAAGAATGGGTAAGTGGACCGAACTTACCAGTTTTATTGAATGTTGTTATATTTGGTTGATAGTATGAACATCAAATTGAGTTCAGGTAATTTATCTAATTTTGACTGAATACAAAGAATTTTCAACAATAAGCAACTGGAAATTAATTTTACCTTTCAAATTCCCCTTTTGTCTCTTTCCAGAAGATTTTGATGCGTGTCCTCTATCAACAGAGTCAGAGGGGTTGTTTCCTTGGTCAACTGGAGACGGATTATGAGAAATATCCAGTTCAGAATCGTGTTCCATATCGTGATATTGAATGTCATCATCAGCTGAATGTTCTTGTTCTTGCACAGTACCCATTGTACTCAAAATTATTTTTCTGTTAATCTAGACTTTGCAGGTCTATGCTTCTTCTGACTGCAACACAACAAATCTTTGTTGTTTATTTATTATGCCTAGCAACGGGCCACATTATCAACAATGGGCAAGACCAACAATACGAGTTGGAGCTTGCCTCAGTGATTAGCCGATATTGTGCCCCTGACCATGATGGAACAAATAATATTTTAGAATATCCTACAAGCGGCGATAACAAAATGACATATGATTAAAGACAGGAAGTAAATATATAGTAGAAATATTGAAGGCGACTGAGCTGCTGTGATCTGGTGGCCATGTAGGCACTGAGGGGGAGAGAAGGTATAGCTCCTACTCATTCTTGACCTCAGCACTAGACTGGGGCGAGTGGTCAGTACCACGCACGGGCCGCGCTTTACCCCCGCAAAAGGATCCTGGTACTCATTCGATAGGAGGCTGAGTGGGCAGCAGAGCCGGTCTGGACGTGGTCTTGAGGAAAAATCCTCTGCCCCTGTCAGGGATTGAACCCCAGTTGGCCAGTCTATAGCCAGTCATTATACTGACTGAGCTACGCCAGCTCTCATTTTCACACACACACACACACAAATACTTTTTTGACGTAAATACGTCTATACGGAAGGGTCATTCGGCAAAAAAGCGTAACAAAGTTGTGTAAGATCCATATGAACAATATGTAAATATGTACCGACAAAAATGATCAGCTTTTATATAAAATCCTGCGTGAATTGTTATGTTACCTAAGAAACTAATTGTTGCATCATCTGTTTACTTGGCATTGTTATGTTACACTACTGCTGTCAACAATCCGCTTTCGTTATTGCGGAAAGAGCTGAGCTGTGAATCGCTTGAAGTGCGTCGTAGACTAGATAATTTTGTGCTGGTAAAAACGTTTTAGAATAACAAAAGTACTTATCTTATATAAGAATTATTACATTACATTTCATTACATTACATTACAGAGACGTATTTACGTCAGATTCTCCAAAACTGTGGTTCCACTGTCAAATTTTTGCAGTGTATCCACAGACTGAATCTTAAGAACAACCGATGATAACGAAATGTCTGAATAATTCCTATGAAATGTGTATATTGAATTATTTTCAAAGCTTTTCAATTACACAGAAGTATCTTGTCTACGACGCACTTCTTCCACAAGCAATTCCCAGCTCAGTTGTTTCCGCAGTAACAAATGGTGAATGTTGACGTCAATAAATACCAATAAAACATAAGAATAGCAGCCAAAACTATGATGTAACAATTATTGTTTCTTCAGTAAAGAACATGGAGTGCTTTTCACTTTACAGAGGCAATTCTACTGCATTTATAGATTTGACCCACGCACACAAAATAAAACACATTCTTCAGAACTGGCAAAGAAGCTTTAACAAAGCTGATGTGTCAAGAAATGTGAACTTGTCGAATTATTTTTCTCAATATGTGCCCCGTTTATTAACCATCTGAAGCCGAAGATCGTCTAAATGCTATTTAAAAATTCAGTCTGTACCACAAAGAAAACACTGCAATTCACCATTGAAAAGAACGACCAGTTAATTCTGTTTAAGAAAATGATCGCTGTTTACCCTGAGAAACACACGAAAGCCACAAATACACAATGAAGTGTTATTAATTTTGAAAGCAGGTGGTATAAATATTTACCACCAGGCTCTAATTTATCTAGATTTTCGGCTACTAAACAAGCCTCATCGTCTTAAACATTCGAATCTCCAACCGTTTACTGGAATATTCAACCGCAATCAATTCTTGCCGTAAATAACCAAAGTCAGTCTAACATTATTTGAAATTGTGTTCATTTTCTTGCAATTGTTCATTAGTATCAATGAACACATGTAAATATGTTGATAAACAATAACAACAGTAAAATAAAAAAAAGTCCTTACCTATCTCTTCCTTCAAGGTAAGAGAACTTGATGTCCACCAGCAATAAACAATCAAATTAATAACAAAATGCAGAAAGTGTAGGGCAGTATTCCGCAATAGCACAAAAATTATCTTGTCTACGACGCACTTCTTCCACAATCGATTCACAGCTCTGTTCTTTACACAGTAAGGAAAATTGATTGTTGACGGCAATATATACTAATACAACAATGCAGATGAAAACTATGACATAACAATTTTAGTTTTTATATAAGTATTGTTACGAGAAAGAACATTGTTACAGGTGATGTTTATAAATTCCAATACTTTTCTTACATTGTTGTACAGGCAGATGTTCATATAAAACCTGACCATTGTTGTTCGATATTTACAAAGGAGGGGGTAGTGTGACGTGTTGCCTTGAGAGCAGCATAACAATGTCATAAACAGTTTAGTTGTCTGTTTATTGACATTGTCGCGTCTGGCATTGTTGTTAGTTTATAGACATTGTTGCGTTAGACAATATTGTTTGGCATTGTTGCGCTTGCGCAGGCCTCCGCCCTCAGTTAGCTTTTTGGTTGTGTCCAGTGGGACTCGTGCCGAACGAGGGCTGCCAGAGGTCGCCCAAGGGCAACCGAGGGCGACCGATGTTCAGCAGACTAGCCGAGGCCGTCCCCAAATACGGCCAAGTCGGCACAACGAGTGGTTAGACTACTCGGCTACCCTGACTGAGGTTTTCCGTGCTTTTCCTCAGTTGTAAGGCGAATGCCAGGGTATAACTTAATAGGGGCCCAACCAACCAAATTCCTTTGGACAACTTGCCTGACGGGATGACCTCCCATCAGCAGCAACGGATCCCAGTTGTAATGGTCGAGGCTCCCGCCACGACGAAACCCCGTTAGCGTTAGCAAAATTTCCGTTTTTTAAATTAAGACCGTTTACCATTTCCAGCAATGTGCCTTGTGCGCAGGAATGGTTTCACCTAGGTAGGGACGATGCTTGCGCTTGTGCAGGCCTCCGCCCTCAGTTAGCTTTTTGGTTGGTTGGTTGGTCGATATTTACACAATGTTGGTAGTTGAAAACAACAAAGTGTCATAATTTGCTTATCCCATACTAACTATAAAAAGTCAATAATTAATATTAAATGTGTTCTCTATAAGAAGGAAATTTGTTTCTCTGTCTAAGGTTAATTTTCCAAAAGTATCAAGCACGTATACCAACTTCATTCCCACTAAACAGACAGTCATCTGTTAACTGTGAACTAATTTAAATAGAAAATATGTTCAAAGGAAAATGATGTTCACAGCAAACACATACATCAGGTCTCTTTCCAAATGCAAAATACTTACCGACAGAGTTCTCCTTCATTTACATATTCGTTATATTTAAATGGCTTGTGGCCTGTCATCATTTCAAATGCCATTATGCCGACACTCGACCAAGTCCACTTCCTGGAACAATTAAAATTACGGGTAACAGCTGCAATCAGACACTTTCATTTCATCGCACACTTGTACATTTTCCACAAGGTTCTCCACAAAGAGAAAGTTTGTGGTTAGAACAAACTAATTGTTCGTTTCTTGCCTCCATGTTAACATGGAACATTTTTAAGTTTGATGATGCTTTTTCTTCTTTTATCCATTTCATACAGCTATTTGTATGAACAGAGATTGTGGCGAGTTTTCTTATGGTTTTCTTCGAATGTTCAGTCGGAACCTTGAAAAAACACTTTACTAAACACCGTTTACAATTGACATTATACAGTTATACTATCATTTATTTTACATAAATGATATTACAAGGAAAGTGAGGAAAATTATCAAATGCCACTCAGCTATTATCAAAATGCTAGACAGGTGGACAGACAAACACGGCAAAGCAAACAGGAGCATTTTTCTATTTTTCTGTGGTGAAAGCACCTACAAATGTTCTGTGTTTGTTTCATATCTTCCGAACTGCTGTGGCTTCATCAATACTTACTGCAACAAGTTTTCGCAAATATTTATGTTTATTTCAGTTCAAGAACCGCTGATACACAGAGAGTGCCTGTGAACCGTGGTGCAAAGGAATTTGAACTAAATTAATTTTAGAAGGTTATATGATCAAGTTTATAACTCGTGCTGCTTTAGTTTCCATATCTTTCCACAAGATGCACTACACTCACAGTTGTCAAAATGGCATCTTAAGCAGAGGAATTCCTCACGTCAATTTTGGAGGAACAGTGTCCTATAGAGACTTTGTTTACATGATAAGAGACAAGAATACAAAGATTGGTATACAGTGAATAAATGACGTATTGAATGAACCAGAAAATTCCATAGCCACACAAACAATGAAGTACCTTCAGGCTTTAAACTGCCTTGTTATACATTTTATTGCGCAGAACTGCAGTTGGACTGTTTGCCTACCTTATGCAGATACTCCACAGCGTCGATGATTTCTGCCAGGTACAATCTCGTTTCATCAACTGGAAACGCTCCTCCCGACTCCAACATCTGGGACACGTCTCCACCTGCGTAATGCTCTGCAACAATAGTAACAAAACTTAGTTCTCTGTTGTATATTCAGTTAGAAAACAGTGTTCCTGCCAAATGACGCTCTCCACAAGATTGAAATTGCAAAATGGCTCTACAATAAAATTCTGTCAACACTTCATTAAAGTTACTTATGAAACACTAGAAATGACGCATTAGGTTCACAGAGAAGATTCCCCACATTGTATTGCCATGTTTAAACGACACCTGGCATCCAAAGACAGAAGAAAATGTTTAGGGAAACTGACTATGGTGAAAGTTGTTTAACTGCACATCCAAAAATTGAACCAGGTGGACAATTCATGTGTCAGAACAGCTGCATGAATGTTGACAAAAGTGCAGGATCTTCAAACACATGGAAAATGCCATGGAGTTTTAAGAGATTTTTCAACATGAGTAGAGTTACTCAGCACGAGATGCCTTGGATGCAAAGTGAGTGGATGACAATCTGCAGTGATCTCACAATGACATGTGGTAACATCTTTTGCTCCCTCGGTCCATCACTGTCATGGATGAGACTTTTCATCTCTTTCATTAACAAACAAAGCATGATCCGTTGACCTGCAGTTCACCTCATTCACTGTGATAAAAAAGTTACAGTGAGAGGTCAAAATGGAAAGTGATATCAGAAGTCTGAGTTTTGTGGTCCTCTGCACTACAAATTCATTCCAGATGCAACTCTGAACAAGAAAAGATCGAACAGAAGTTGCACTAGTTGCAGGAGTGGACCAGTGACTAGGGACATATATCTGTTGCATGATAACACACCTCCCAATTCTTGTGCAAATATCGCTCGCTGAACACAATAGTGTCGTGTTATCATATCAACCTTAATCGCATGATCTCTCACCATCCGAGGTCTCTTTTATCAAGAGAGAAAAACATTTGAGAGGTCATCGTTTCAACAGCAGGCAAGATGCTCTGTGTGACATCCAGACACAGCAATTCCAGAACTGCTTCCAGCAACTGTACCAATGGCGGCAAGAGCGTGTTTCAGTTCAGGGAGAGTTGTCTGAGAGCAGCTACGTTTAGGTCAAGACCATACATTTTTTACTACATAACAAAGTATTCTTCTGAAAATTTTTAATGCCTAGCACAAAATTGTAATTCCTTTATAGTTTCCTTTCTCCCTTCTTGTAAACTGGTTTGGCAATTCCTTTACACGAGTCCTCCGATGGTCTGTTTTCTATTAAAATTTTTCTCCTGACTCAATATAACCTATGGGTCCTGACTCTTGCCACTGCGTTAATCATGTTGACAGATATTTTGGCATATCGTAGTGTGTTATTCTGTTTACAGATGTAATCTTGTCTGACATACTACAATTTTCTGTACTTTGTCAGTTTAATAATTCCTCAGAGTATTATATCCACGTCCAAAGATATGCATCTTTCTATCCAGGCCAACTTTTCTTTGTCTAATGGACATTTTAATTCAGATTTTTATTCATATTATTCCTCATTACTCCATAAATCTTTTGTTTCTTTTGTAAGCTTCCCTTAAATTCATCACATATTTTTCCCACATTCTTTATTTCTCAAACTTAATCAAACATTCAGCTGCTTTCAGACATTACTGTGCATAAGAAATACACCGTATCACCCTGAACTAGAACCCAATAATTATCACTGTTTTGTATGTGGTTAAAAAGAAAACCATATTTAATTTAGTACCAGATGCACCATTTCTCTGATATCTTTGCCTTTAAATTTACGTCCTTGTCAGATTTATCGAGGAACATGTCTCACCATGACCATGCGATACTGAAATGGGTGACACAAGAAATGCTTACAGAATTGTGGTAAAGAAATGTGATGAAAAATGGTAACTTGCATGACCAACAAATGGAATGTAGGATGTTAAGCTGCATCTCAGATAAATAGTTGTACAAATCAGAGGTTGATGAATTAGCTCAAAGCCATGTCCAATGGCAGCCCTTGTAATTTGCAGTACTGAGTCCTTCAGTTCTGCTACCAGAGTGTCAGATGTTTAATTTATAAATAAAGCTAATTTCACCGTGAGGCAAATGGAATGCTATGAAGTCCAAGGATTCCGTTTTGCAGATGCTCATTAATTATAAATACCATTAATGTTCCTATACACATCAAGAGCTGGTGTAATTTGTAACGTGTACACTTACCGGGCTGAACTACTCCACAGATGTTGGATACACATTCCTCTACTCGAGGAAAATAGCAAAACAGGTTCAGCCTGTGTGCTGCAACACCAGATACTGCATAATATCATTCCACATCGAACTGTCTCTGCGATGGCTGTCACAACAGCCAGTTCTGCCTGTCCAACCGGTTCACCACCGGCTTTATGTTCCCAACTGCATGTGGACATCTACACAAACAACCCCACTCATCAAATTTTAGGAACAGAGTAATGAAAGCAAACAAACAAAATGTACATCATTCATTTATAAAAATTAGAGATTAAGTTATTTATTTAGTGTTTATTAAAGTACAATCATTTATACAGCACTGAATAATAGGATTATAAGTGACTAATTAATTGAAAAGAATGTGGAAGGAAGTGGGTGTGGCCTAATTTAAGGTACTATACCGGGATTTGTTCACAGGATCTGGGGAAAACCATAAGAAACTTCAATCAGGATAGTCAGTCCTTGGGCCAAGATTTGAACCTGGTACAGTAGTAGCGGTAAATCTCTGCATTCCAGATCTATTAAAATTAAAAGACAAAGGGATCAGAGGAGTAGGAGACAGCAGATGAAGAATCACATATGCCCATTCCATAAACATCATTACCTGGTGGCAGTACTTTGTAGCTTGCTTTCTCACCTCCTGGGTCAGTAAATGTTTGGATTACATAGTACATGCATTTGTTTTCCTTGTACCTGTAAGACAGTGACGTAGGCAAAACATTCAGTTTCATCCCAGCTACAGTAACAGTCAAAGAGTGCTAACCACCTCACCATTAATTTTTTGGCATAATAAATATGTTTGATAAAGTATGGGACAATGGGAGGAGAATAAAATGATGAAACTGTTTGGATGAAAGAAATGTTTCATTAATTTTTCATGAAGAAAGGCACGATGATAAATTGGCAGGTAAAAGTAAAGCAATTCCTATACAGGCCAATGATGGCACTTAAGGGAAAAATTCTCAACTTCAACACTACAAGGGGTGAGTAGTTGGAAAGAACCCTGTTAGCCACTGGGGATGAGGCTGGGTGGGTCCTAGAGACGGTCCATATGCAGAGGCTAGAAAAAAATCCTCTGCCCCTTTTGGGATTAAACTCCGATCTTCTGGCCAGTAACCAGTCACTATACTGACTGAGTTTCCTGACTCACAATGAATTTTTGCAGGTACTTGTTGAATAAAACCAACATTCAAGAAACATAACTGAAGACTTCTGCAAGACAGGGTGATTTTTCTTAATAAGACTTTATGGAATTATTTCAAGACCTCCCATATGTGACAAAATATGTTGCAACAACACAGCATAAATACTGTACACCAATATCTACTTGGTATGACATGAAAGTGCATGTAAAACAAACTTTCTTCCAATGCAGATTCAACTGTGTGCGTGTGAAAATAAAGTAAAATAATTATTTGCAAAAGACATAAAATTTTTATTACATAGAGTCAGCCGGACACCCTGCAGTAGCACACAAAATTCCACTGCTGTTTAGAAAGTTAAATCGCCCACTCCCGCTAATGGCGTATCTGACGTGATGGAATCCAATGCCTAACTTTGTGATAATATTTTATTTTCAAAAACTGGGTAGTATGGTGGAAGGGGAAACAGTTTATGATGGCTTCTGTTCTTCACAAATTTATGAGTGGTCTTGTGCCTTCATGCAAGAGAAGGACATCTTGCATTTTCTCCTCTAGTCAAACTCGCTTCATGCACATCTGGAGTCTTTTCAGGGTAGTGATGTATGCCTCAGAATTTATTGCTTTACCTTTCTCCAGAAAATCACCCGTTTCATGTCCCAGAAGACAGTTGCCATCATTTCTTTCGTGGCGAAGTCATGTGATGCCACTCCATGCATTGCCATTTCGTTTCTGCCTCAAGGTCAAAATTAGTGAAAGGAAGCAATCCCCATACGTCTCATATCGAGCCAGCAACTCAGCAGCAATATCCTTCATCTGGACACACGCCCTTCACTGATTTCGTGCTGCAGTGACAACACCTGTAGGTAAAATGTCGATCCTTCTGAATGTCATCAGCACGTTACACACTGTCTCTTGTCAAAGCCAAGTACGGCGGCCGCTGTGGTGTTCCCTCTCACACGTTTCACCCAGCATCCAACTGTGCTTCTGTCCGTAAACACTTTTTAGACGTTTATGAATATACCCCACATTATCACCCTCAGCTGTTGGAACTCGATGACAACTCTCAGTTTATAACTCTCTTCACATTCAGACTCCATTTTGAAAACTTATTACACCTATGCCATCTGGCAGAAATTATTAAAACTTCATTGTCAAAGGCGGGAGAGCTTCAAATTTATGTACCAACTTTTTTAATGACCCTCTTACATTATCATTCATACTAAAAGAAAATTATATAATGCAGCTGGAAGTATTATTATTATTATGTAAATAATATTATAAATTATAAGATGTCAAAGAGACAAGGCAGAAGAATAATAAATAAAGTTACTTTATTAAGAGTTTCATATTTTATGTTCTATGTCTAATTAACATTTTGACCAAAGCTGATATTAATATTTAGAATTCATTTCTTACCTCAAAGAGAATACAGCCCTTCACCATTGCATAGACCAGTTGGTAAATGCTGTTACAGAAATAATTACTGTATATTCTGAGAATCATATGAAGTACATAAATATACCCAGTTGGAAAATGCAGAGTTACTGATTACTGAAGCATGTGGCATTTAATTACCACTAGGATGTAAAGAGTTAAATGAAGACAATCAATATGCTGGATATACTGCATGCATTTAATGAAACAAGTGATACATTCAGAGTTTTGATTGGAAATTCTCGTTTTGAGAGAGGATAAATGAATGTAGGCAACTTAATAAAAAAGTTTTGAAGACATGCATTGGGCTAAACTATCTAAGTATAGAACTGAGAAGTGAAGTTTTGTGAACGAAACTTTTTTGTTAAGAAGCTGTAAAAATGTGGGGTAATATATTAAATCAGCTTGCTTATTTGTTATGAGAATATATTAGTATGATGAAAGACTCTGGGGTAACAAACCACATAAGGTGGATGAATGGTGAATGAACCATTTCTTCCGTGGTTAATTCACCATTCAGCCACCTGACACGGCTTGTTACCCGAGAGTCTTTCATCAACTTCTGTCGCCGCGAAAGCTTCACTTTATACAATACATTAGTATGACATTAATACATTAACATACTAACAAATTTTACATAGAGCAGAGTTCCTCCAGACAGTCTATGGAAACTAGAGATTCATTTGTCTGTGTGAGTAATTTTCGTGTGAGCATTTATGACAGTGAGCTTCTTTCTGTGCGCAATTTTCGTGTGCGGTTTTGTCTTGTACGGTTTTGTCATGGAACCCATGTTCACAGAAGACTAATTCCCCTCCAAAAGCACAGGAATCCAGTTCAGACCGCTTCCCCCAAATTTCCTTAACTTTATACACACTGCAAGTTTTGCAACAAGCATTCAAAATGACTCAGATACAATAAGTAATAATATTTTTGTGGATTCTAAGAGATTTAGCCCATCTTCTACTTCTCCCATGATTCCCGGTGTCTTATGATTAATAATAATTCTGCAGAAGGAAACTTAATATGGTTACAGCAGAGAAAAAGGAAAGTAAATAATTAAACAATCAAGCAGTTTTTAATTCTTCTCAAGACTGAAACATGGGAATCTGTTTAAAATGACAAAGGTATCAACAATTAGTTTAACTCATGTTTGTATATGCTTGATTTGCTAGGCAAAATTGAGAATGACTAGATTCCACAAATATAAAAATATCTTGCAAATATAAAGAAGGTGTTATCTACAATAAAACAGTAATGATCTCAAAAATAAGAGCATTTTATACTAAATATTGTTAAATAGTGAATAATGTTATGAAGAGTCTAAAAAGCAGCATATCAGAAAACTCAGTAAACTCAGGTATAAAATAGAAACATGGAACATAATAAAAAGGGATGAATTTTCCTAGACATCTTAAATGTTAGTACTAACACCACTCAACAAGAATAGTGAATTAGCATGACAAACTACAGATCAATTTTACTATTAAGAAATTTTCCGTACATGATTGACGTTAGGTTATTTACAATAGGTTAAGAAGTTGTAGGCATTCTAACAATATACTGATCCTAGTGCAATTTGGCTTGAAAATGTTTATCCCCCGAAGATACAGCATTCAGACTAACAGACAATGTATTAAAATCTATTAACCACAAAAATTTATATTGGAGGAATATTCTATATTTCAGCAAAAGCTTTTGACTGTTGTTAACTAAATTACATTTTTATGGCATTCAAGAAATAACTGCAGAATGAGTCAGATCCTTTATAACAGGTAGGAAACAAAAGGTTGAAGTAAAATCAAATAAAAATAATCAGAATTTTTTTCTCAAACTGGAGAAAAATTAAATACTGCAGTACAACAATAG